GGTCTACAAGAATATAATCCCTTTGTTTGACCTTTGTTAGACAAAAAGTATTAGAATTCTATTTTTCTATTCCAAAGACACAGGTTGCTTAGACATTAGTCTTTTTTTTAAATAATCAATAGAAACGCATTCTATTTCACACAATGTGTTCTCCAAGAAAAATAACATGGATTCATTGGCTGCATATACAAATTGCTACCATTTGGATTATCTTCTATTTTTTTATCCCCAAAGAGACTTTTTTCTATGAAATCCAATGTGATCAATTTTATATTTGCTTCTAGATTTATACTAACTTTCCACTTAATAATTTCATGTTTGATTAACTTTGAACGTTCAAAACCTCTAAACAAAGCATTTAACTGGATTCCTAAGTCTGGAATAGTGTACATTGATTAATTTAACAACTGTGGTGGAGCAATTTTCAGTCATTTAGTGATGTGAAAATATTTTTTTCTGCTGGTGCACATGATGCTGCATGATTTCTATAAGCCAAAGCATGATACTCCTGTTCTAAACATTGAGCACATACAGTAAATCAGAACATTTCTCCTATTCCATTCAATATAACATTTATAATGCATTTAAAGCAAGCATTATAAAATACAATCATACCCTATAATATTTCTGCTGAACTGTCAAGTGAAAACCTGAATCAATGATCAGGTTTTTGTTTAAAATTATAAGGACTCTCATCCTGAAATCTTTGCTAACTTTACCTGGCTTCCCATAATATCCTGTAAATAAATTCTAATGGTAGATAGTACTTAGCAACACCATCTATTCTCTGTTTTCTGCTTCACTTCTTGGAGGTGGAGAGGGAACAGGGACAGGAGGAAAAAAATCGCAATTTTAACTCCTAGAGAAATTCCAAGGAGAAGATGAGGATGGTGGAACTACTGGGCAATTCTAAATATAACTTTCCAGCTGTTTGAATATTGCTATAATCTGCTAGAATGTTCAGCAAAAAGGGCCTTGATCACCCTACCTTAGTCATGAAAACCAGCTGGGTGACTTTGGACCTGTCATTCTCTCGCAGTCCAACCACCTCACAGGGTTGATGTTGTGGGGAAAATGGGGGGGGGAGGTATGTTAGATTTGTTCATCGCCTTGAGCTTTTTGTAAAACTAATAAAGGCAAGATATAAACAAACAAACAAACAAAATAACTCTTCTCCCTTCCTTCTCTCTGCGACTCTGCTGTTACTGATGTGGAACTGAAATTGGAACTAAATTGTTTTATATATGTACTTCTAAGTAATGCTAATATGGCAAAAGAGTCTATTCCTTACCTGTTGGAATAGGCTAAAAAAGATTTTAAACCAAGGCCTACCTATTCAATCTAAACATTAACATTATTAATCCACAAAAAGTAAACTATTACTCGATCATGCTAAATGTCATAAATGCCACTTGATTGAGCACAAGGAAATACTATGTATTACTTTGTTAACAGACTGTAAAAATGTGCAGCCAAAGAATTTCTTTCATTTAGAAAAGAACACAACTGAGAAATATAACTGAGAAAAAGAGCAGAAGAAAACATCCTTCTGGAATATGTGTTTTTCTAACTGTTTAAAACAATAAATTGTTCCTTGTAATTATTCCATAAAGTAATAATAATTTTTTAAATGTGTTGCTATTTTAAGTCTCATCATTATAAAATATGTTCCATAAGATAATGGTTTAGGGGGGGAAATGCTAAATATGTGATGACAACATCAGAGAATAGCACAAAGCAGATCCACTAATCATGCAGGTAAAGTTTCTAGCATCAAATACTCTTTTTCAAAATATCACATCTGAAAATTGAACCAGTAAGCGGAAATCAGGAATTGTGCTTATGTTATAATGAAATGAAGCAATTATACACTCCCAATGCTAGCAATGTTTATATTCTATAGAAACTAAAAAGCCATTCTTAAAGTGTAAAATGGCATTTTTAAAAATTTTGCTAGCTCCTTGTTTCTCCCATCAAACTTACACAGCATGAAAATATTTCCCTACTGGCTCACTTTTACCTACTGATTTTCTTTGTGCAAGTGTGCAAAAAAAAAAATTTTTTTTTAAGTCATTATTGACTTCTCAGACTGTACCCTATATTTTATTAGACTAAAAATCACAAAGAGGAGCAGTAGTGCTTTTAAAAAGTCTCTTGACTTTGATGCATTTCTGCATTTAATGCAAAAGAATGAAGCTTATTAGGTTCATAGGAGGCTCAATTACACAGAATCTAATTATTAGAAGTTTATTTAGTTGCCTGTTTGCTAAGGCAAAGGTTAACGAGAACTGCACTGAAAAAACCTCCTGTGGTATAACAAAGTATTTTTATGCTGTATGAAATGTAAATTAAAAGTATTCTAATCAAGTCTATCTTTAACTCTTTCATTGTTAGAAGTTATGATTAATATTCTTGAAGAGCCATCATTGAGATATTTATTAAAATTAAGTTATTTCCAAAAGCCTGGGATTTTAAAAAGGAGGAAACTAACAGTTAACACTTAGAAACAGACTTTATAAATAGCAAAGGAGGGGCAATTTTTCAGACTGTTATTACTAACATTAAATCTTCATAAATATTAAGTTGAAGGTTCTAATTTCAGATAAAAATTAATTATATTTTTGGGAGTAACACATTCAGAAATGTTTACACAGCTGACGGGGCTCAGCTGCAGTAGTTTCAAGCTGAGAGCTTTCTAGACTCATTTGCTTGAAAAGCAGATGACTTAACAATCACCAATTTCATTAAACTTGAAAAGGAAAAAGAAAATCACCTGCAACATTGTCACTTGTTAAAACAGAGTTTAAAATAGATTTGTGTGTTTTATTCAAGCTGGACATCCTATCATACAGAAAAGCTTTTCCTTTTTGTTTAGTTGGCTACTTTCCCAACAGCTGCTGGTATTTGGATTAGAAATCATGGGTTTTCAAATCCTTTCTGGCCTAAACTCAACTAGCAACAGATGACAATACACCAATATATTTCAGAGGTTGCAATTAACCTTGTCTATGTTTGTTTTTATCAAAAGCTTCAGTTGTACATCCAATACAAGGACTAGCTACTTTCCTTGAAAATACCAGCGTGGCACTCTTGTGCCAAATGTACAGCAGTGACAGTCTTTCTTTGCCCTTGAGAATGTAGGTGAACTTAAAAAGTGTGACAACTATTTTATAACATGCTACACATGAAAGAGCAGATAATGTGGAATGACTATAAAGTCTCTACTACAGCCAGAAGTATCTATTTTAGGTGATGTGTCTTACATATTAAAAACAAGTTTCAATGTATAACAATATGCATGTATTTCAATAGGTAACAATAGGAACAAATAGGGCAAACTATTTGTCTTGGTACAGAGGGCAGGTACAATATTGTTACCATTACTGAAATTTAGTGGATGAAACTTATGATTGGAATGTACTGCTAGAAGGATACTGTTAACAAAAAAAACCTTTCAAAAGAGGAGGTGGAGTTGCATTATATGTAAGAAATCACTACACCTCTACAGAAATGCATAAAAACAAGGCTGAAAGCTTTGTTGAATGCATGTGAGTTAATATAAAAGGAAAAAGAATGACATTGCCATAGGCCACCCATGATGCAAAAAAGATGCTGAGACCCCCTAGAATGAGTACAGAGAAGAACAACAAAGATGATACGGGATCTGGAGGCTAAACCGTACACAAACAGTTGGGAGAACTAGTCTAACAAAGAGAAGGACTAGGGGGCGACATGATAGCAGTCTTCCAATATCTGAGGGGCTGTCACGGAGAAGAGAGGGTTGACCTCCAAAGCACATGAGGGTAAGAGAAGAAGTAAGGGGTGAAAAACCGTTAAAGAGAGATCCAACCTAGAACTAAGGAGAAATTTCCTCACTATGAGAACAATTAATCAGGCTTTCCTCCAGAAATTGTGGGTGCTCCAGCATTGGAGGTTTTCAAGAAGAGATTGAACAGCCGTTTGTCCAATAGCAGGGTCTCCTGCTTGAGCAGGGATTAGAAGACCTTCAGGGTCCCTTCCAACCTTGTTAATCTATGTTCTATGTTCTAACTGTCTCTTTCTACAAAAGAACAAGAAATACTTTCTCCTTCTTCCTATGAACTCTTATTACAAGTGTTCTTGTAACCTACATAAATGTGACAAAAATGTATAAAATGACACATGAGTTTTTTTTTTTTAAAAAAAAAAATAGCCTCCCATTTCATCAAACATATTCCCCAACAGATATATACAAGACTAACCACTTGTGATATTTTTCTTGCAGGAACATCATGGTAGAAAATACTGTATGATTCACTGATCTAGTGTTGCCAAAAGTAATTGAAAAAACATTTTACCAAATTATAGTCATTCATTCATTCAGCAACATACACAGTGACTCTGAGAGATGTACAACATTAAATCCATCTGTTAAAAATGCACAATTTAAACCCCACTCAATTTCAACCCTCCTCACCCTGTGGCAGCGACAACAGAATCAGGCAAGCCACTTGATCAGCTCTGAAGGGGATCCCCAAAGCCACTGACAAAACCATGTCTTCAAGGACTTGTAATCATATCACAAAACATATCAACTGTTGTTTTTACTGTGAAAATCTGTATTAAGAATTTTTTCCTAATTTAGAAGCCCTAAATTAATAGTTCAGTTGCTTTAATGTACTATTAGATAAATTAGAGCATCTGGCCATTCTTGGTTTATCATGAAAAGCTAAACAGAGCAGGATATTTAGTAATTGGATAGAAGACCACCAGAAAATGCCACAAAAAATAAAAGATCTGGAAGAAGATAATGGCAAACTGTTTTAATATTCTTACCAATAAAAGTGCATAGGTATGAAATCAACTGGAATCAAGCTTGACACAAAAACATATTAAATTACAAAATGTATTTGCATAGAAATATTTTTGAAATGTAGCAAGTATTTCCAATAGAAAACCACAATATGGATTAGAAAAAAACACTACAGTATTTACGACAATGCTGAATAATTATGACTTACTGAGTCATCTGTAGCAGAAGCAGGCCAGCCTTCCCAATATTGATGACGAACAGGGATACTAGTCAGGTCATACACATTTCGTTTAACCTGCCATAAACAAAGGAACAAATAAATGGCTGCAAATGCTTACTTTATACAACCAGCATTCAGTAATTTAAATACTACAGTTATGCCATTCAAGTTGAGAAATTGTGAATTTTTTTAAAGCATTTCATTCTAATGAAAGCTAGAATCAAAATTTAGTTGTTTACTTCCATACCAAATGTTTTACAGACACAACCATCAAGTTCACTGTAAAATCACTTGGACATAAATGTACCTGGTACATGTAGCAAATACAACACACAATGTACCGCAAGAAGGAAATGCTCTTCATAAAAATAATTATTCAAATTTGGTTTCAAAGTGATAGAAAGAAAGATTACGTCAAGATTACAAATTCAGTATCAGTATTTTTAGTCTAAAGCAGTGGTTCTGGACCCCATTTGGGGTCGAACGACCATTTCACGGGGGTCACCAAACAAGGCTGTCCGCCATTTTTTTCCTCTTTTCTTTGGCCACGCCCCTGGCACCCGGTGATGTATAAATGGTTGGGGGTCATCACAACATGGGAAACTGTATTATGGGGTCGCGGCATTAGAAAGGTTGAGAACCACTGGTCTAAAGATCCTAATAATGAAATAGAATCTTTTTATTTTTTCAAACAATTCTAAGAAAATGTCAATGAAAGGTAGACTGTGAAACATGAGTCTAACAAAAATAGTGACCTTACAGTGGAATGAAGTGGAATACAATGGAATTACAGTGAAGTGAAGAGGCTGAGTGTACTCCTATGGCCAGACTACTGTATCATTTTTGTGGGTTTTTACCTGGGCAACAATATCATGTATCCTTGAAAGGGATATAAAAATGAATCTGACCCACTGGCTGAAAAAAGTTATCTTTTCCTTATCTATGCTTGAGCCTCTACTCCAATTTGTATTTTTTAGATTACAACACCTATCCGATGAATTAAAAAATAAATTAACAAAAGTAGCATATTACAGGATAGACTTGGAAGAGAATCCATGGTTATTTACTGCTCCTAGCTGAAGCATTCGGTCACAATGGGTAGCGGCACCTGGCTGGCCTTCTCTATGCCAGGAAACTTTGTTAATGACAATATTTCTCTCTCATACTTTTATAAAGTGGTGGGTTGGTCTTCATAAGTAGCCTCAAATCTAAGAAGTTGCTCATTGCAAACATGCTGTATATAGACTCCAGAGTAAATTCAAAAACAGATTTTGTCCTATTGTAAGATCTAAGAAAATCAAACAACACTGCTATTTTCATTTGTTCATTTGCCAATACTGCATATGTATTAACTATTACTTTAAAGTGGCCACTGATGAATAAAAGCACTTTATTAGGCATACTCTAATATGAGAATTTATTAGGCATACTCTAATACTGGATTTCAACTTACCAAGAACTTTGGTTCTTTTACCTATAGCCTGAACCACAATTATTTTATCTCACTGCAGGTATTATTTGTCTAACAAATTATTATTAACACTAGATCATCAAACTGTTTAGATCTCTCTAAAATGAGAATGATTCTTCTATAAGCATGCATCTGACACAATTCTCTTTAGAAATATTCATTGAGATAGATAGAATGAGGTTATAGTAATTTCCACATCTTAATTCTTTCAGAAATGGAGACTTTCTGACTTAACTTTTTACAACCTTCTGATGGACATTTGCAGCTAACGACTCTTTATCAGTCTGGGAACCAACTCCCAAAGGTGCTTTTTCAAGAGGCAGCTGGACTTTCTTGTTTTTCTTTGAAGACATTTCGCTTCTCACAGAGCTGAAGAAGCTTCATGGATGAGAAGCAAAACGTCTTCAAAGAAAAACAAGGAAGTCCAGTTGCCTCTTGAAAAAGCACCTTTGGGACAACCATGACTGGATGACTGAGAATCTCCACAGACATCTGGGAACCAAAGATTATAAGTCACTAATCATTTTATATACACAAAGGTTTGAACATACTAATAGCATGTTAAATTTACAGTCTATGTTACATAAAATTTACATTTTATTCTTAAGTCATTGCTTATAAGTAATCTCTCTCTCTCTCTTTCTCTCTTTCTCTCTCTCTTTCTTTCTCTCATGTTCTGGAAAGTGATGCACCTGTTGAACTGAACTGTAATTCAAGAAACCTTATGCCATAATAACTATATTTAATGTGCTACACCTTTCAAATTTGTTTATATTGCAAAAGTTATTTCAGTGTCATTTTTGTGTACCAAATGAAACCTTACCTGATTAGTTCATAATATGATTCCAGCAATTTCTATTTTGTACCATATCTTAGGAAAAGTTATCTATCTATCTATCTATCTATCTATCTATCTATCTATCTATCTATCTATCTATCTATCTATCTTTTTCACACACATACATACAGACATAAATGCATAGGGTAACCAATAAAATCTTCATTTTAGATTACAAACCAATAATTCAAGAATGGGTGTTTTAACAAGTGTAGGATAACCTATAATCTATAAGCTTCCTAAACAGTTAAGAATATCTTTTAAAAAGATTTCTTTTCCATATCAGGAGGCAACAGACATGACTATTATTATAGCTGACATAAGGAAATTCAGTACTATGATGTGTTTCCTAAAACTAGTGTTAATATGTCCAGGAATAAAAGGCATTGAAAATAATTTTCCTATTTTATTTATTACAGAAATTAATATTATTTTAATTAAGACACATACTATGAAGACAGGGAGTTTGCTTATCTAAGAAACCAATGTCAGTCATATAATAAAATCTACAAAAACAACAATAAGAATAAATAAGAATATGAATAATAACTTTGTTGTCACTTTGAATGTACACTAATTGGCATACATTAAAATGAAATTTCGTTGCATACAGCTCTCAAAGGGTCACCACCTCCAATATACACTACATCAGTGGTTCTCAACCTGTGGGTCGGGACCCCATTTGGGGTCGAACGACCATTTCATGGGGGTCGCCAAACAAGGATGTCCGCCATTTTTTTCCCCTTTTCTTCGGCTATGCCCCTGGCACCCGGTGATGTATAAGTGGTTGGGGGTCACCACAACATGGGGAACTGTATTATGGGGTCGCGGCATTAGAAAGGTTGAGAACCACTGCACTACATACATATGACAAAATTAAATAAATAAATACAGAATTATGCATATATACTCACATATATTATACGACACAGAGAAACAACACAGTCTAGTTCGGATTATGTATACTTGTGCGTGGCGAGAAAAACAAATCTTGTGAGTTTACCAGGCGGATGGCATAGGGAACAAAGCTATTAGCGAATCGGGTAGTCCTGCTAGAAATACTTTGAAACCTCCTCCCAGAGGGGAGCAACAGAAACAGACCGTAAAGTGGGTGTGTGGGGTCTCTAACAATGCTTTGAGCTCTAAGCACATAGTGCTTACAAGAAGCATCCGGAATACCAGGAAGTGAGCTTCCTATGATCTTCTTGGCTGACCTTACCAATCTCTGTAAGGACTTTCTATCTGAGGCGCTGCTGCCACTGAACCAGACAGTGATGCCGTTTGTTAAAATACTCTCAATTGTGTCTCTGTAAAAATTGGCCAGGACAGAAGAAGAGAGATGTGCTCTCCTCATCTGACACAGGAAACCAGACACTGGTTTGCACGTTTCACTAAGGATGACCAGTGTGAATTTTGTTAGTTATCTGCACCCCCAGATACTTAATACTGTTGACCACCTCTACAGCTGCATCCTTGATACTGAGTGGAGTATGACTATACCAGCTCTTTCTAAAATCTCCTTTGTTTTATCAACATTTAGAATCAGGTTCCTTTTATTGCACCAGTCCACCAGAGCCTTCACCTTTTCCCTATAAGTAACTTCACTGTCATCCCGGATAAGACCCACCATAGCCGTGCCGTCTGCATACTTTACAATATGATTCGTAGCAGATTTGGCACAGCAGTCAGGGGTCATCAAGGTGAACAGTAGCGGACTCAGGACACAGCCCTGTGGGGAACCCATATTCAAGGAGATGGAATTGAAAGTTTTCTTTCCAACTCACACAAACTGGGGCCTATCAATAAGGAAATCAAGTATCCAATTACATAAAGGAGTATTAAAACTTAATAGGCTCAGTTTGTTCACTGGGGAATGCTGAGGAATGATTATTTTGAATGCTGAACTAAAATCAACAAACAGCATTCGCACATGAGTATTCTTCCCCTCCAGGTGGGCCAAGCTAAGATGAAGCACACAGGAAAGTGCATCTTCTACAGAGCGATTCTTCCGATAGGCAAACTGTAACAAGTCAAATGCAGGGGGAAGGCATGAAACCATATAGTCCTTTACCAATCTCTCAAAACACTTCATCATAATAGAAGTGAGTACAACTGGATGGTAATCATTAAGGCAAGTGATTATAACTTTGGGGGGCACTGGTACAATGATTGCAGTCTTAAAACATGATGGAACCACGGCCTGATGCAACAAGAGATTGAAGATGTCTGTGAGAACAGTGGCCAGTTGGTCAGCACACTCCTTAAATACACGCCCAGGGATATTATCAGGACCCGCAGCTTCTGTTCTTCAACACCAATAAAGTAAAAATAACTAAATTCTGGAAACTGGATTCCTTACATTCTGTTCTAATTCCAAAACACAACACCGCAGTATTATGAAATAAACAGTATTCTCCTTTTTCATTCATTCATCTGTAACTCCACTGATTTCAATAACATTCCTTTGCTATTCTAAGTCTGAAAGGCATTTCGACTTATAGTGTTATGTTGGTATAAAGCACAATGCCAGACTGATGTGCTGAACTAAAGTGATCAAAGTTTGAGTAATGTTAGCCAACGCACAAGTATTATTCAACCAGAATGACATCTGTTGAACAGCTTGTTGCAAAATACACTAGTTATTAGAGGACAAGCCTCAGCTGGGAAGTAGTAGGTAAAATGTATTTAGGCATGCACTGTGTTTAGTTAAACAAATAGCTCAGGTTATATTAACAAATGCATTCTGAAAAGATGCCAAAGCCAGTC